GGCTCTGTCTCCTCAAGCAAGAAGAAACAAAAAAAAAAAACTTAAACCAATGGGACACCATCCAACTGAAAATCTTTTGATAACAAAAGAAACCAATTCACAAAATGAAAAGGCAGCCTACTGAATGTGAGAAAATATTCACAAAAGAATGCATCTGAAAGGGATTTATATCCAAAACAGACCAACAAAAAACTCACATAACTCAACCACCAAAATGTATTTTAAAAAAAAACTAATAAAAAAAAAATTGGGAGAAGACCAAACATTCTTCCACAGTATACAGATGGCCAACAGACACATGAAAGGATGATCAATATTGCTCATCATCAAAGAAATGCACATCAAAACCACAATGAGATGATCTCCCCACACCTGAAAGAATGGCTATCATCCAAAAGGCAATGAATGACAAGCACCGGTGAAGATGTGGAGGAAAGGAAACCCTCATGCACCTTTGTTGGGAACATCCATTGTTACAGCCACTGTGGCAAACAGTATGAAGGCTCCTCAAAAAATTGAAAATAGAACTACCATATGCTGTAGGAATTACACTCAGGGGTATCTTTCTGTGTGTAAAATGTATTTTTTAGACACACACACAGTGGAAAATGACTCAACCATAAAAGAGAACGAAATCTTGCAACAACATAAATGGACCTATAGGATATTAAGTGAGATATGTCAGACAGAGAAAGAGAGATAACTTTCGGTGTCACTTTCATGTAGAATCTACACAGCAGAACAAATGAACAAACAGGAAAACAGAAATGGACTCATAGATCCCAAGAACATGCTGGTGGTTGCAGAGAAGAGAGGGTTGGGGGCATGAGTGCAACAGTTGAGAAAGACTGACACACAGAAACTTCCAGTCACATAACAAATGTCACAGGGATGTCATGTGCAGCATAGGGAATAGAGTCCATAACACTCTGCTAACATTGTATGGTGACCAGTGGTAACTAGACTCACTGTGGTCATCATTTGGCCACGTATACAAATACCAAATCACTATGTTGTATACCAGAAAACTAATACTGAAGAAGGATTAATAAAATGGCCCCACTTAGGCTAATAGATTGCTTATTCTTATGCTCGCCCTTAAAATGGTCAACTGACCTGACTGACCACTTGCTACTCACAGTTCCAGGTCCATTGTTAAAGCTGAAGCTATTGACCTTACTGTTTCTACTTTATTCCAGTAAGTGAAAGTAATAATAAAGCTTGATCTCTGGGTCCTTCTCCAAGGAGGTCACAGAAAGTTAACCTTATAAAATAGCCCGAATTACCAAGAAGACCACACCTTATGAGATAAAGAGATCTAACCACTGGCCTCTATAGAATTGGTCACCTGGAGGCATCAAGTCCTCATTCTAAGTCTTCTGATAACAAAATGATTCTGTCACTTCTTATCAATGCTTTATTGTTTGAGCTATGGCTATATAACCACCCCACCCCATCTCCAAGGTGGGTTCACAGTTTTGAAGGCACTATCCTGCTGTGAGTCCCCTTTGCCTGACAAAGCAATAAAATTGCCTCTTTTCTTCTAAGCCCCAAGAACTTGTCCCTGGGTTATTTGGCTCATCAGCAACGGGGGCTGATCTTTTGGCAACAATACTGCCCGTCAGTTATACATCAATTTTTTTTAAAGAAGAAGAAAAAACACTATTTTTAAAATAAGAAAAATGTAAGAGATAAAAAGCAGATGTCACATAAAACTTTAAAAGGATGCAGGGTGAAAAAAAAAATGATGTCAGCTGACATTCCACTCCCATGGCCCAGAAAACTTGAGGACTCGAAGAGGAGCAGCCATGGGATACTACTGGAATGTGTGTTTCTTTGTTTAAAGAGGCTTCTTTTTTTTAAGCAGTTTTGAGCTCACAACAAAGTTGGGCAGGGTACAAAGAGGTCCCATATGCACCCTGATCTGCTCTTGCTGCTCTCCCTGTAACTGGCAGGGGG